ACATTATGCCGATATCCCGGGTCCTAATCAGTCAAAAGCGGCGCTAATTTACAAAGAGTTACGAAATAATATAATTGAGAATATGTTCACAGAATATGAGAGGACGGGCTTTGTTTGGGAACAGTATCACGATATGTCGGGCACTGGTCAACGTTCCCATCCCTTTGTGGGCTGGTCTGGGGTTGTGGTGCTAATGATGTCCGAACACTATTAATGTGACCTGGCTTATACTGTTAAGTTGCGTATTAAATAAAATATTTTAAATAAGACTAAAAATTTATTTCATATAACTTATTAATGATAACAATTTATAATTACGGTATTTGCGGTATTTACTGGTAAGTCAATTGAAGTTAGTATATTATAAAATTAAATAGTTAAATGTTGTTAATTTAAAATTTGCCGTAATCAAATAATGATTATAAAGTTTTAAATCAATACCACTAAATTTATATATAATAAGACAAACATAATTTAATTAATTAATAAAACATGAAATATCAGTACAAAGGACATCTGAATTAAGGATTAAATTTAAAACTGAAAACCAGTTTTGAGTCAAAACTCACGACAAAAGTGGAAATGAGAAAACATTTGACACCAAAAAAGTGACGAAACTTTTTGTCCATTCATTACGTTTTGAAAACTTTACAAGAATTTCAATTTCAAACAAATTCCTGCGATACTGTAAATAATGATTAGGGTAAAGGTTGAAATAAATTTGTTTTAATTGCGTTCATTTATTCAAGAAATTTGTAGCATTTTAAGTTATACTGTATTTTGTTAGCTTATGTCTAGCAGTGTTTGGTCGACAATTAAGTTTTTAGAGCAATAGTCAATTCATTAGCAATGACTTCAAAGGTCTGTAACAATTATGTTTACCCCTGTACAGTATAATTATAATGAGACAATTATTAAGGCACAGGTAATCAACTGTAAGGCTGCCGTCCTCTGGAAAGAGGGAACACCACTAATCACACATCGGATCCGTTTGGATGACATCAATGAGGGCTTTGATAATCTAAAAGCTGGTAAAACTGTGCGAACGGTTATTGAGTTTTAATTTCAATTGTGGCACAAATACTATGACTTTAAGATTAACCTTTATATAACTGTACTAACAAGTAAGAATACTTAGAAACTTTATTATATTTCATTAAATTCATTTAGTTTTCAAAAATATTTTACAAAATTTAGTTTTATTTTAATATTTCTAACACAAAGATTAACCTTTATATAACTGTACTAACAAGTAAGAATACTTAGAAACTTTATTATATTTCATTAAATTCATTTAGTTTTCAAAAATATTTTACAAAATTTAGTTTTATTTTAATATTTCTAACACAAAATTATCAGTACTTTTTTACTATTATATTATCTTTGACTCAACAACTGACAACTATTAGTACATTAGTACACATTGTGTACTAATGTACTAATAGTTGTGAGTAGAAAACTATTATCACAAAAATTAATCCATATTAAAGGTTATGTAATTAATATTTTGAAAAGTATATATATATAATCTTACAGACAATTTAGTGTTTATTGAATTCATTTAATAATTACTGATTACATAACAAAGTTGATAATACTGTATTTTAAAGATAAATCATATACGGCAAACTAGCATGTGCATTATAATGAATTTTTTGATTAAGATTCTGGTGTTTATAAACATTTATGTTTCAATAATAACTGCAAACTCGACGACTGTAAACATACCGTTTGACCACCACTTCCATACCGAACCCATACTACCGTTCAATACTTGGGGATCTCTTCGGGCCATCTATTACTTCGGTCTCAAGACTTCATCACCAGATTCACCGGCTGTTGGTTTGGTTTGGTTT